AGATATTTAAAATTAAAATTATTTATTTAAAATTATATAATAATATAATATCTAAAATTTGATTAGCTAAAACTGATGATGTTATTAATGACATAATTGTAGCTAATTGTAGTACATATATTGCAATTATTAACAAAAACTGCAATTATTAAAATTTAAATAAATAATTGAGGAGTCATTTTTAATATAGAAAATGTTTATTTTGCAAGATAAATTTGATATTTTTTTCAAGTTCTTCTTTTAAATACTTTACTATTCTTACTTTAATTATATTTTTTCTTCACTTTGCAGATGCAGTACCAAACTTTACGCAGTCATGAATATTTTCTCACAAGTTAGAATAAATAGTTATAACTAATGATTATCCTGATTTATTATATATTTTAGTAATTCCTTCTTTCAAAAGTCTCACTTTTTTGACCTGAGATTTGACTTGTATAGTAGTATAGCATTTAAGTTATTCTAATCTCTTTTTTTATTTAGCAATTTCATGATCAAATTTGTTTAATTTCATTAATAAGATATATTATAGATCAATATTATTAGTTATAACTATTATTTTGATATATTACTCTTATTTTTCTTTAGTATTAGTTATAATATTTGCTGCTAATATTTGATCAATAGTATTTGATATAATTTTCAGTATACTAGAAGATGACTTTCTCAAGATATATTGCTGATTTACTAAGAGTATGATAGTAGAATCAGATATTTAGAATAATTATCTATTCATATATCTTTAATAAGACTGAATTATTAGAAAAGTAAAATTAAAAAGCATCTTAATTTTGGTATTGATAGATTCTATATTCTTTTTTTTTAATTTTATTTCATGCTAGGTTGCATTCTTTCACAAGATTTTTTTTATTTTAGAGTATTAGCATATCAAAATGAACCAATTATGCATACACATATGCTTTGCAATACCTTTGATAGATATTATTTGGATTTTTGTAAAAAAAGAACTTTGAAAAACTTGAAGTAGAGAGAAAAGATTGCATTAGAATAGCTAGAAAGAATTACATAGAATAACTTTATTATATTTATAAGTTATCACATAAAACAAAATTTTATATCAAAGTAATATATTTATAATAAAGTCACGTAAAGTAAAACATGTAAAATCAAAATTAATTTTCTTGATTAGAATCATAGAATTATTGATTAATATTACAGGATTAAAATCACAAGATTAATTCTTCAATTAATTAAAAGTCACAAGAGGGATGGAGAGAGTTGGCTCATAGTAAAATTTAATTATGTAATTTCTGATATTTTTCTTATTAATAAATATAATTTTTCTATTACTTAATATTTCTTTTAGAAATTTATATCTAATTACTATATCTTTATAAAGAAATAGAATAATTAAAATTACAAAAGTATTTGTAATAGATCTTGTTTTAACTTATTTAATTAAATAATTAATAATAATTATGATATAATAATTTCTATTATTAATTACTAAAAGAAGTTTTATTAAATTAATTCTAATTTTTTTAAAAGATATATTTACTTAAATTAATATTATTCTATTATTCTTGTATAGATATCTTTTTATTAATATATATTATAAACTTTAATATATATCTATATCTAAAGATAGTTTCTTAACTAGTTATAACTTATGATAGCTAATTAGAGAGTTGTGATAGAATTGTGATAGTCAATCAGAGAATTATAATAGAGTTACAGCTAGTTGTAACTCCTATTACTATTTATATTTTTATATATTTGAGACTAATAATAATTTAATTATAGATAATTTTAATTTTAAAATATTTAGATATAATATCTGAATAATTATTATAAAAAATTAACTTGATTTAATAACTAATAGTAAATAATCAATATTTAATTTATTTCTTTTATATAATTTTTAATTTTATATAAAATATTTTTTCAATTTTATCAATAGCTATTTCTGTTTTTTTAAGAATTCATTAAGTATTATTAGTATATTTAAATAATTATATAATTTTATATAATCTTTTAAAAGAGTTTGATTTATTAATTAATTATTTTAAAGTCAAATAATTAGTAATTAATATAAATAAAATATCAGATAATAGATATAATTTAAATAATTTAACTATCTAAATTACTTTTAGATACTCTAGCTCTGTTGTGTTATATTTGCTTTTTTCTTTACTAACTTTTCTACTAGTATATATAATAATATATTTCTTTTCTTTATTATTATATTATATTAGTATAGCTCTTAATTCTAGTTCAAAAATATTAATAAAGTGAATAAATAACTTTATAAAATCTGAATAGATGATAATTATACATTATATTTTTAAATTTATAATTTAAATATAAAATATTAATTAATATTATAACTTGTAAAATATGTTATATTTAAATAATTTTAATATATTATTATTTTTAAAATCTATAATAAAATAAAATTATATTAAAACTTGATAATTCATGAATTTTAGTTAATTTTCAAGAAAATTCTTTATAATAATAATAATAATAATAATATATTAATAATTATTTATTATAATATTTATTTAATATTATTATAAATATATAATATTATACTATTTATTACTAGATAATTTCTAAAGTAAATATAATTAATTTTTAATATAATAAAATAAGTTTTCTAATAAAGAGATATATTATAATTTTAATAATAAAAAATTTTCTTATTAGTATATATTCTTTTTTTAAGATATTAACTAATAGTTATTTCTTTATTATTCATTATATTTTTAAATCTTTAAATATTTTTTTTATCTATAATTATTTTTATTATATTTAAAATAATTATATATATATTAATATATATATTAATATATATATTAATATAATATAATATATATATATATATATGAATTTTTATATCTAATAACAAAAAGTTTTATAAAATAAAAATTAGTAATCTAAATATAAAAAAATTAAGAAATTATTATATCTTAATTTATATTATTATTATTATTATTATTATTATTATTATTATTATAAATATTTATTATTTATTTTTTTATTTAAAAACTTTACTTTTTATATAATATATTTTTTTATATTAGATAGTTATAATTTTTATAATCTTTAATTAAAAATTTCAGTAATCAATTTAGTTTGATATTAATTATTATGAATTTATCAAAGCTTATTATTAGTTAATTTTTTTAATTAATTAGAATTATTAATTATTTTATACTTAATAATTAATATTATCTTGTGATAAGATATATATATCAATCAAATATTAATATTATAATAATTAATATCTAATTTTTTAGTTGATATTATTTTTAATATAAAATTTAATATTAATTAATAATTTAACTAAGAAAATATAATAATATCTTTTTATTATTATCTTTAATAAATTAAAATATAAAAAAATCTTTATGATATATTTCAGGAGCTTTTTACTATATTTATTAAGTTAACTATTTAATAATATTATAAAAAATATCTAAAAGTTATAAATTTGAAATTTTTTAATTATTATAATTATTGAATTTTTATTTTAATATTCAGAATTATCAAATATATCTAATCTAATATATAAATTTCTATAAAATAATCTTTAAAATACAGATATATTTATAAAATCTAATTATTATCAGACTTTAATTCTTAATAATAAATATTCTTTCAAAGAAAAATAAGAATTATATTATTATCAAGCAATTTTAAAATCTTTATCTTAAAATCCTCAGATATATTATCAAATAATTTTCATATAATATTAATATTTTTTAAATATTTAAAAGATCAAAACTCCATAAAATTAACAAATTTAGTCAAACTCAAATAATATAAATTTATTAATATTTATCTAATATAAATTAAGTTTCTTTTTATTAATAAATATTATAATTAATTAGAAATTATAAATTTTGATATCTCTTTTAATAATATAATTATTATACTATTTTTTTAATATTATTTAGTTATTCTTTTGATTAAAATAATCAAGAATTTTATTCTTGATGAATTTAAACATATTAATATACTCACTTAAATATATAAAATAGATAATTAAGTTATTTAATTCCAATAAGAAATCAAATTTTATTACATGATTTACATTAACAAGAAGAATCTTAAAAATATTCATCTTATTATCCTATTTTAAAGATATTTGTTAGTATCAAGTCATATATCACTTTAATAATAATAGCTCTCATCTTAAGAAGAGATGAATATAAAGTGCCAAAAAAGACATTGGCTTCTTCAAAGTAATCATTCTGATAGGTATTATTCACAGAACAATCATATTCATCAATCAATATGATATACTTATTACCGTTTTCAAGCTGTGTATTTGCATACATCTTCAGATATTTGAAGAGATTGAAAAGGATACTTTCTGGTTTGATTGCTACTTGTTGAGAAAATATGTCATGAAATTGTGGTATGATGAGCACTTCTGTAACATAAATATAATCTGCATATAGAGTTGCAAAAAATCCTCGAAGGACACTCTGCATCTCTTTCCAGGTTTGGCCATAAACATCCTATCAGGCATGCAGAAAAAGATGAATCAACAGCCGAGTGACAGGTAAACCAAGAATACCAAGCGTCATACTGTAAAAGACAGGTATAAAACCGGAAACTTGCAAAAGTGTCCAGTAAACAGATCTGGTTCTTCCTTCAGAATGTTAGACTCTTTGAAAAGTTCTTTCCGGAGCTCCAAGGAGTCAGGATGAACAGGAAAAGCAAAGAAATCCCTGAGCATTGTGAGGTTTGTCGACTTTCCAAATCGTCTGGCCGCAGAATAAGGGACATGTCCGTTTTAATTCTGAGAAATTCAGCAATTAGGAGTGACTTGTCAATGAACGTATGGCCACGATTCACAATTTCTTGAAAGTTTCCTAGGCTGAGAGGAAGGCCTACATCATTTTAGGTTGTATGAACAACGGTACCTCCACCTATTGTAATATTGGAAGTGAGATCAACGTTAGCTTAATTATTCAGGAAAGTAAAATAATGGGAATCTTGCACATACGCTCAATGGCCATTTGTATTTCACTTTAACTTCCGTTCGCGGTAATTTCATATTACCCAATTTCATTAGAGTGAAAGAATACATATTATGAGAACGGCGAAGCGAGCAAGTATTACGAAAGAGAAAGCCTTACGCTCATAAGTTGAACGGAGTTTTTTTGCGATCTTTTCTGCTTCATCATTTTCGTCATCTGTAAGAAACATTAAAACAAGAATTGTCAGAAAAAGATATCAATAAGCGAACGATCAATGAAAAGCCATGCTTTGGACTTTCCGCGTCGGACAACAGCGTACCTAGGTAGGACCGTTTCACTAATGAAAGACAAACGTATGAGCAAAAGCGGAACGATCCAAATACGTCGCAGCGATTATGAGTATAGCAATAGACCGCCCGATAACAACAAAGCAATAAAATGAAGTGGTACAAGTGATTAGAAATTGCGAACATGAGTACAATTCAAATTGAAACGCTTCATAAACGAATAAGCATATTACTATGTCTACTCTACCCTATGTACACACTACTCTATGTCCTCAACGCCCCGAGACACAAAGTCGTTACCTGGCAAGAGTGTTCCGAGTGCAGCGGCAATCTCCTTGTCTCCTCCCTCGAAATACTCTAAGCGTTCATTCAACGGCTTGCTCAAAAGAATGCCCCTTGTTCTGCCGCGTTCCTCTTCGTCAGGGAAGAGTGGTTAGTTTAGCTTTGGCTTGCTCCCAGGTCATTTTTGTTATAAAGTTTGAACAGTCTTGTCACAATCTGGGAAGATCGCTGCGCGCGCGTTTTTTGATAAAAATAGTGAAGCATTCTCCAAAACAACAATATACTAAGGAATGCACATCGTATTTTCGCGAGAAAGGTTTGGGAAAATTGTATGCCCACTGCATTTCTCGAAGTCGTTTGGCAGCAAGGTGAAGAACAAGAGACTAATTTCTGAATAAACACGTAATGAGTTTAGCTCGATTCTTCTACGACTTGTCAAGCAAACCGCAGCAAAAATTTCGCGCGCACCCAACGGTTCATTAACGATTCTTGACATTTTGGTCGTCGAGTTTCAAGCCAATTCATTCGAGTTGGAGTGCCGTGTGCAAAACTGGAGACTTAGCAACAATTTAGTATTAGAAAATTAGTTGGTGGCCGAGTTTTCAATTTCAGTGATAAAAATGAATTCCGTTTTCCGATCAGTTTTGCAAAATGAACTAGCAGTTTCGGAATATTGAGAAATGAGTTAACGAGTTTATTATATATAATGAACCATAGAAATCGATAATTCGTCTACTGAAATATTGATCTGATGGATTTTATTTAAAGCCATTCTTGCAAAGAATGTTTAAAGTAAAAAGCGACAATAAATATGAATTATATTTGCAAAAATCACGATAGTTGTTCTAGTAGATTGTATTAATCTCTGTATTTTTTTACATTCGAATCCAAAATCAAGATCCTCGTCCAAATTGCTAAAGAAAAAAATAATTGAAAAAGATATTTCTCAAAAGAAATAGAATAGAATTTAGAGTATAACTTACAATGACCATCGGCTTATCATATAATATATAGCCATGAACTTCGTCAAGTGCTTTGGTTGCCAAATTCACATCCGGGAATTTAACGAAAGCTTGTCCCCGCATTCGTCCTTCTTTCAATAAATTGATATCCAATTGGCTAAGTAAAAAAGACAATAATTAAAAAAAAGTCAAATTTTTTATTTAAAATAATATAATAAATCCATTCAATAAATAATACCTTTCCATTTCTTCTTGTGATTTAAAGTATCTTCCAAATATTCGTTTTAGATCATATGATTCTACTTTTTTCTGAGCCAAATTTTTAATATAAAGTGTGGCTGAGGGTTCTCCGCGTGTATACTTTTTCATTGCTGCGATACTTTGCAGCTCTATTATTTTACAAGTTAAATGATAAAGTAATTTATTATTTATATGGGCTTATCCGAAATTAGAGTCTAATCAAATTTACCTTCTTCTGGCATTTTGTTCGAATTAATTTCTTCATATGAAATGCAATCGAACGCAAGATCTGTCTTTGTCGAAATTTCTTTGTTATATTCATCATATGAAGTAGACATTGATTTATTATGTGCTGCTGGAAGTGAAGGTGGTTGTGGTTTTGATGTTTGTAGTGGAGGTGGCGGTGAAGGTTCCACGATAATATTTGTAGGTTTATTATTTTGTGTAGCCAAATATGGTTGAGAATTATTAGAAATTGGAGCAACTATATTAAGAGATTCCATAGATTGTGATACAATTGGATGTGGCGGCAACGGTGATGGTATAATAAATGTCCCAACAGGTGTCGGTTGAAAAGGTTGTGGAAAAGTCTTATTTGAGTATAACGAATCAGCTCTTAATTCTTTAACAGGTGCAGTTACGGTTTTAGGTCTTTTGTTAGATCCTTGTATCTTGATTCTCTTCTCCTCTTCATCTTCACTTTCGATCTCGGATTCATCACTTGCAAGTAGTTCATCCCGTTTTTTACGTTTCTTATTACTTCCGTCTCCTTGCAACTCAGGGAACTGATCTTTTAACAAAGGTGGTATCGACTCGGGCATAACAGCAGTAAAAGGTGGTGGTAAATTCATTTTATTCATTAAATGCAAAACTTGAGTATACAAATTTGGTACAGCAGCAATCGCACTCATGATATTGAAGAGAATTTCGTTTGTCGGAGGTGGATATCGATAATGCAAATTGGGGTTTGATGGATAATTTATTCTTATAAATTATATAAATTAATTAGTAAAAATATCGTCAGAATTTAAAACAATTAAATTTTTATATTTAGTTTAGATACCCTAAAGCTGTGGAAATAGATTCACCACCTTCTGATGGAAGTGGCGGAACAGGCGGTAAAGGCGGAAGAGGTTGTTGATGTGAGTCTTTGTCATCAAAATTATTTGAATTTACAGCTTTGTCTGCTCCTCTATCTTCTGTTTCCTTTTCCTTTCCTTTCCTTAAAGCCTCTTTACTTGGCAATGCATATTCTACTCTGATCCGTTTTCCCCCAATTTCATCCAATCTTTGTATTTTTGCAAAAGCTGTACTGGCAGACGCTCGATCTGTAAAATCTAAAAACGCTGCATTTTTCTTTGATTATGCAAAATATCGGTGTTTCAATGGAAATTCTATTATATATTGAAATTGTATGTGAGTCAAAAAAAAGAAATTTTTTAGATAATCATACCAGTTTTTGAGAATTAAGTATTCTCACTTTACAAGCGCCAAAATGACTAAGAAAATCTCTTAAATGAGGTTCAGAAAAATTTGGCAAGTTTTTCACTATTAGAGTTGTGGTTTCCTACTTTTACAAGAAAAATCAAGAATGTGTCAGTAAATTTTTTTGAAAGAACGTTCATTTTGCTACTCTATTAAGTGATTGATTCCTAGTATACCTGGGAAAGAAACTGTACAGTGTTCGAGGGGACTGTCAGTGAAAGCGAAAGTGGTGCATTTAATGTCATTTTTTCCTATCGTAGGATATGTCCCGTTTATCGTAATAGTAAAAATGAGAAAAAGTTTTCGTCCTTAATTATAACACTTTGATTTTACAAATTATTAAAAACGATATTTGCTCAAGATTATGAACAAATAGCCAAAATAATGATATAGTATTTGTAATATATTTTTTAGTTCAGATTATTTTGAAATGATAAAAATAAGAAGTATAATAAATAAACAAATGCATTAATTGCTCAAATTATAGAAATAATAATAAAATAATTTCATATAATTATAATTTCAAGATTAGTCTTAGTCTTAGTCTTAATTTTAATTAATCTTTCTTAAAATCAATTATAATAGAATCTCTAAAATTAACAAGATCTGATGAAAATTAGTAAATATAAATAAAGAATAATTTAAAATTTCGAAAAATTAGTGATTTTTTTTATTATCAATCTTATGAAATCAGATAATTTGATTGATATATAGAAGAATTGATAATTAAGAGATTAAGATTGGAATTGAAATTAGGATTAGAATTAAAAAATAACTTGATTGATTTATTAATTAAATAAAAATTATATATTAAACTAAAAATAAATATTAGTAAATTTATTGCATATTACTTAAAGACTTCATTTTTATTTAAATTCTAAAATAGATTTTATTTTTATTTTATTAATTTAAAATAGATTCTATCTTATATTTTATTTTTATTTTAAAATAAAATTATATTATTTTATATTTTCTTTATTTTAATTTAATCTTAAAAAAAATTGATTAATTATTTTTATTACTTTATCTTGAATATTTTTTTTAAATATATTATAATAAATTTTATAATTTTAATAAATCTGATTTTTATATAAATATTATTAGATCTTATTATTTAATATTATAAAAATAATTTATATTATTCTAATATAATAATATAAAGAATTTTCTTAATTTTAATATTACTATTTGTATCATTATTTTTAAAATCAGATAATTAAAAAATTTCTTTAATAATAATTTTTTCATTAATAATAACTTCTTTATTTAAAATAAATTATTAAAATTAATATAGTTATTAATTATCATTATTTATATATTGGTAAATTTAATAGATATCAGATTAGTAATGATCAGTAAATATGCTAATTATGATTATATCAATTTAAAATCTGTACAGAACTCTGAAAATAGAAATTTTGAAGAAGTATAATTCAAAGAAACTGTAATAATTAACATAATTACAGATTATTACAGTTCTTTGGATATAAATTAAATAGATAAATGATAAATAGATTAATTATATGCATTATTATTTATTTTTTTTCTTTGAAGTTTACTACAGGTACAAATTTAACTTTAAAATTCTTTGTCTATTAGTTTTTTAAAATATATATTTATTTAATAAAAAAAGGTTTTTTTTGTCAAATCTCAGCATAATATGTACCTCTTATTCTATAGATTCTATTGGAATTATATTATACTCTTTGGTATAGTATAGATGAGGGCAACCGTACTTTTCTGGCTCAT